AAGAAATTTTTAACACGTTGGAAATGAAGGAATTTTATTTCATAATTTGATAGATTTTCTTTCTTCAAAAAATCTTTCCTTTAATCACAGCGAATAGCACAGATTTCTAACCTAACCTAAAATACCCTACCTTACTTAACCACAGCTGAGCACAGCGGAGCGCAGCAGAGATCTGCTATATGCTATAAAAGAGGCATCAGCCATGAGTTATCTTGAAGAGACCCAATTTCAAAACATCTTTTAGGCAAGGAAGATATAGCCTAAACAATGAAATACTAAATAATACAAAATAATATCGTATTTAATACGTTGACTGCGTACTACGAGTTATTTCGTCCCTTCGTTATTTGCCATATTAAATGTGTTTTGGTTTAAATGAACAGAAAATACAATTATACAGAGTTTATTAAAAAAGAAAAAGTTTATACAAGTTTATTCATGCAGAATAACATTTTTATGGTTTGTGATCATTTTTAAAACAATCTTGGACGCCAACTACGAGATAATTCGTAACATATTCTTTTTAAAAAAGAAAAGACATTTCTTAAGCTTTTTGATTATTACTTTGTACTATGAATAAAGTTTTTAATAATATAACATGATTAAATCAAATTGGCTTCTTAGACTGGAATCGTGAAAAGTTGCGTGTTAAAAATGAATGTTTTTCAACAAAATTTTTCTTCACAAACACAATATTGTAGATAAAAATGGACACCAATATCTTCTACATTTTTAAACAGTTAACATATTTAGATAAAAATATTTTAATAGTGAAAACAACTCGCGATAAACTATTTTAAACAAGAAAATTGATTAACACTTTCTAGAAAATTTCTCTCTCTTACATATTCTCTTATATATTCATGTTTCCTCTATGACGAGTCTCACATAACTATTTTATTCTGGTACGTTCTTCTAAATATTTATTCAAACATTATTCACACTAGACTGCACTCGCACATTCAACCTCATTCGCATTCACACATGTAAAACCAACACTCGCAAATGTAACTCTATAATAAAAGCCAAAGTAATCAATGGTCTTGCAAATTATTCTGACATATTAGAAAAATTCCAGTGTTCCAACTTTTCATTTAAGACGACATGAGTTTCTTCATATACAATATCGTAAAAGCGCTTTTGAATACCATTCAGGTATTAATGGAATGATTATTAATGCTAGCAACACTTATCCTATGCAAGATCTATTCAGTCAATCTCTTCACTCCATAAAATGGCTACATCATACCACTCTGTAAAAAATTTTTTTTTTCTTATACTCATACACATCTCATCTGTTTGTATAGTTGTAGATCCTTCTTTTTCTTTGTTACTTATATTACCATTAATTTTATACCTCACTGTAATAATTTTCCTGTAATTTTTCTAATGGGTTAATCCCATATAAATAAATAAATAAATAAATAAAACGTAAATAAATAACTAAAACTAAAAACTAATAAAAACTAAAAATCGAAAACCTATTAGAATTGAAATGGCTATAGCAATCCAATAGGTTCTGACTCCTTTATTTATGCAAAAAAATTAGCTCACCACGATATTAGTCGAAAATGTCAATAAAATAAATAAAAAGTAGAAAATTTCAAAAATTCAAGATAATTAAAAATATGTCAATTATCTTATTAAGATGAGAAACGACGGCTAATGTCACTGGTATTTATGCCTAACATCAAGTATAAATAGTTACATTATAGCAATGATAAATGTGCCTATAATTATGAAAGTGGTCTAAGTCACTTATATTTGCTTCTGAGATATTAAAAGAATCGGCCTTTAAATGCGTCATAAATTACAAAATTAATTGCGATAAAGCAACAAACTCAATCTAACTATTTAATTCTTCACTGTTTTGTAGAAAATAAATATATTTTATCGCAATATAAATGAATGCAACACGAAGTAAATAATAAAATCGTTCCTCTTACAACGAACTATACATGAAAACGAAAAACACAAAAGCAAATCATAGTGTGATACCCTGAAGGCACACAGGTATAATAGTCAGATAGCCAGATGGTACACAGGTATAATAGTACAATTAAACACAATATTCATTCAACAATATTCATTTTCACAGCCAATATTACTTCATGCACACCCATGCAAATAACAGACTCATTTATCGTAGCTGGTAACATAACATTGATCACTAATGTCACATTAACGACACCTATTCATCTTCAGCATACTATCTTGTTTAATATTATATATATGTACTGTGTATAGGTATATACTACTGGTTGGAACAAATTCAACTATCGACAGAACATTTGAAACCCAATTTCTCAGTTATGCTTCACGTACCCTCTAGAAGTATTATATAAAACTAACATATCGTTGCGTCCCGAAGGCTTTCTTTAGGGTAGGATCTGACAGAAAATGAAAATGGAGTATTCAGTACAGTGAAATATATATTGACAGTTGGAATCAGAGAATTCTTGGATACCAAAGAAATTTGATACCACTGGCAAAATAATATCAGTTGCAAAGACAAAAGACGAGGTATAATACAAACGTAATATTTTTGTACCTAACCTAAGAATCCTATATTTCATTTGCCTTTAAAGCGTACAAATTTTTTGATCTGCTACGTTCATATTTAATTGAGATTTTTTACTCTTCAGGCCATCCACGTGTCCTTTCAAAATCGTTAGCACGTCGAAGTGAAAATATTTTTAATTTACCACTGTTCTCTAACTTTTATGGAACTTTCATTGCCCTTTTATTCTTACAACGTCTCTTATTTCGTTGTAATTTATATCGCACGATTGCTCATTAGAATTGCAATGCATTTACGCTATTAATATACACCTATATACTATTATCATTTGCCATATATCGCTATTGTTCCTAATATATGCGTGTAATTTAAACGACGAATAACAATTCAGATTATAGATTATGTAATAAAGAATGGTTAACAGTCGACATAGGTATAACAAATGTTTTACTGCACTTTGATTCCTGTCTAAAAACGATAGTTATTCGTTTATGCACATATTACGTCAATTCAGACTTTGAACAGTCTCTTATTTCGTTTCGAATACAAGTACGTGTTCACAAGTCGCTAGAATCATGGATCTTTGTCACTAGTAGTTAATTTACGTACATTTATTCATAACTGTCAATATTTTTCACTGTCACGAAACTGCATTATTATTCCAGACGAAGCAAAAAAATTACATAAAATTTGAGAAACAGGAAATACTACTTTATTAAAGGAAATCTTTAAACATTGTGTCATACGGTGTCGCGTCCTATGTATCGAATGTCTTTGATTTCCAAAAACGCTTATCACGCGTCTAATTAATATTGCGAGATTGGTTTTGCAATATTGAGGATCCCGAGTGTGATGTTAAAATAGAGTATTTATTTACAGTAAAAGTATACGATAGTTATAGTAGAGACGTTTATCGGAGTACCGTTTCGTACACGCGTTTATAAGTATATGCACGATGTTTCGGTGATTGGTGTCTAAGACGAACCGACTTCTCAATTTTGGTCTGTCTCGTGTCTCGTCGTGCCCTGTCCGGTGTTTTCTCCAGTTTGATTCTGATTGGTTAGGATAAATATTAGCGGAGGAAAAGTAAAGATTTTTGATTGGACAGAAGGTGTGACGGAAGGATCCTTGGCTGAGGAGTAGGGAACTGTCAAAGAGCCGATTTTCGATAGTCAATGACGTGATTTACAAGTGGTGTCCGTCCATCGCCTTGGTGGGTCTGTCGCACGTGGGTCCGATCCGTCGGGTCTGGTACTTGTAAATTTTCTGTACTTTCGCATTTAGATATATGACTTGATCCGCTGAGAGGGCGGCGAGGCACGTCTAACCCTCGGCGTAGCAGTCGTAATACAAAATAATAAAGTCTTTAGAATTATCGAAAATTAAAGTAAGAGTTATTGTGGGCAACGTTCAAATCAGACTAGACGTGTAGCGTCCAACGGTGGGTCAACTAGGCCACTTCCACACTCGGATGCGGGGCCTGTGCCCACTGAGACCCAGGAGGAGAGATAGTACTCGGACAAGTTCAGTACCCCAAATTCGGCGAAATTTGCGATACCCATAGCGATCTGATATAGACAAACAGCAATTGCCGAAATACCTGCCTATCTTCGTGTCAACGAATTTCGACAGGTGCCATTCGTCACATTTCGAATTACCTTCTACAGATATCCATATTTGCACTATTTACGAAACGTTTAGGCATTCCTTAACAACACCTGCAACATTAATGTTTAGACATGCACATATGCATATACAACAGGTACATAAAGTACAGACACAGTAAATCAGATCACGCAAAGGTAATTATAAAAGCATGAGCTGAGATCATGGATTAATTAGTAGCATTTTATCATAAACGAACGCCGAATCGCAGACGATCTTATGCAGCAATTTTGTTAATTTCTGCACCGTTTTATTGCACTCTGTCTTATAGAATTATCATGACACAGTGACAGGGATAATAAACTAGTTACACATGAAGCAATTCTTAATTATTTCACATATATATAAAATAAATAATTAGACAATCATACTGATATTTCACCCAAGTATTATCAATGCATATAATAAATACATATAATTGTATTACAATTTAGAAACATATATTAGTACATGATATATAATCGTAAGATAACGTACAATATATGACGAAATTTCAATTTCAATTTATTGATACTACAGAATATAGAAATTAACGAAACTCTGAAATTATAATCAACTGTCAACCTAGTAATCAAGAGGGATTTTTAGATCGACATACATAAAGAATAATTAACTAACAAGTTATGATAATCAGCCACTAAATGAACTTAGAAATGGAATATTCATAATAATTAATGTAAAAAAATCGTTTACACAATTTATCGATTTTCTATGTAATATACATCGGTCATGGACGAGTGCTGAAATAAATTCACAGAAGAAACGAAATACCTTGTTAGGATTTTACAAACGACAATTCGTGGAAGTAGTTACAGGTCAGTCGGTTTGCAGGTAACGTGGATAATAAATATTCAAATTGTTAATCGATTTATGGCATAAACCCCGCATACGCAGCCATTCGGTAAGTTCGTTTATGAAACAGTGTCGTTTATGTAACTATATATGAACTGGAATATAAAAATCTCGGACTGCGTAGCTGTCACAGTCCGACCTAGACTCCGACAGGGATACTTTGGCCGTGAAATATCGTTTCACGAACAGCACCGGGAATTTGTAGCTGCCAAAGGGACAAAAAGGAACGACCATGACGATACTGATGGAACGAATTGGTGAGTGTGAAAATTGTGGATTATAGACCTCGTCGGACCGGAAGAAACGATTTGTTACGACGAAAGGGCAGTGGTAAACCTGGACAATTTCCATAGTCACATTTCGCGCTATATTTTCACCAATTTCGAGGGCCACGAAATTTAGAAAAATCCAATTTATCCTTGGAAGCATGGGAAAATAAAGAATGTGAATCTTGTAAATCATCTAGGAAGAATTATCCTACAGTTAAAGCGACTGTTCAAAAAATCATGTACAAAGTGATAATAAACGTCTACCAAAAATTGTAATGAATAGTTATTATTCAAATTAGAAATTAATTTGTTATAAAAATCGTGGAAAACGTGGAATTCGTTGGAGTAATAAAGGATGCAATGAAGTGTCATGTGCAAAAAGATTATGGTGATCGTGGTTTGCTCACAAGTTATGCGTGTATTTAACTATCAGCTCCTTTAACACTAGAACTACCGATCTTTAATGAATACCTAACTATAACGTGCACAGATTATAGTAATTTCAGCGATATACGATGAATATGAGTGAATATATTGATTATAATTCTTTCTTAATACGAGTTGATACCAATTTTATTCTTAAAGCAGGTGTATTTTTACTGGGTTGGTAGTTGTAGTGTTAAATAGTCCATAAAATAATTATTCCAAAAGCTTATTTTATTAAATATTTGTCATAACTATTCGTAGATAGATTCGTAGATTTTTTAATAATGATCATACCAACAGATTATCGTTCAAAGAGAATTAAATTAATTTAATTACAACAAGATGCCAACACAAACATATACATTGAACAATCGCTATTACATTTTCTTATTACGTAGGATTAGCAAAATTCACCGACTTACGATATTATACTTTTCTGATCATTGCAAAACCTGTACAGGTCTCACCACCAAGGATTTGATGATCATAAAGACTCCAATACCACTCATTGTTTTATCAATTATATACCTGTACTTCGTTCTAAAAGCTGGACCAAATTACATGAAAGACAGGAAACCATATAGTTTGGCCAGGTTTATCCAATTGTACAACATCTTTCAAATAATGGTAAATACCCTAATCGTGTACAATATAATAGACCTGGGAATGTATAAAGAATACTTCTTCAGCTGCAAAATACCCACATACGAAGAGGGCGTGTTGAACGAAAGGGTATGATTTTAAATTAAATAAAATAATGCTCGTAAAAATATGACACCGATTTAATATTTTGCCAAATCTTTCATACTAACACATTTTGCTCTCACCTTCGAGAGCTTTTAATCGTGACACCACGATCAATACCTTGCCTAAGTTAAAGTTTAAGTTATTTTGCTTTCCGAATAATTATACATGCACAGCTAAATCGTAATAGTGAATGGGACTAATGCTTCTATTGGATTGAATGTCACACTTCGTCTTCTCAATCGTTCTTCATTAACACTAGAGCTACCGATCTTTAATGGGTACCTAACTTTGACGTGCACAGATTACAGTAATTTCAGCGGTACGATGAATATGAGCGAATATATTGATTACAATTCTTTCTTAACCCATCTGCATCATGGCTCTACTTAAGGTGCCGTGTTCAGGCATCAGCGACGTTCAACTGATGACTGGCAGGTATCACCGCGCGCGTATCAGCACCTACTTATAATGGCAGTTAAAAGGATTTTCAAAACAAAAGTAAAACTTGTTCAGAATATAACGAACCGATGTAGACGAGATGCTCACAAAAGGGATCAAACGTGATCTTTGGCATATGAAGAATATTCAGCAGCTGGTAATGGAAAAGTCAGCTCGCGGATTATTCCGCGCTCGGTGATAGGCGAGAGTCGTGGCTCGCGGAATATTCCGCGCTCGGTGATAGACGACTGTCGTGGTTCGCGGAATATTCCGCGCTTGGATGCAAATGGGTTAATATGAGTTGATACCAATTTTATTCTTAACCACTTGCGCTGGAAAGACGTGTCACGCACGTAGTAATACTTTTGTCACGGAATCGCCAACGACGTGGTATACAGTCCTTAGGCAATTGTTACAGAAACATTGGACCGTTCTGGCACACGCGTCTGTGAATTTCTTGCCACCAAGTGCAAGTGGTTAAAGCAGGTGTATGTGTTCGGTGATTGCAAGAAAGAAAATTCTGGGACCAGTCATTTTCACTGGGTTGGTAGTTCTAGTGTTAAACGTAAAAGAAATATTTTTGCTACGGTACAGCCTCGATTCTAGTTTGAATAATATTTTTCTAACGAGTATACAGTGCTACTTGCATACGAGAAATGATCGTCCATATCGCAATAAATTAACTCTTTGCACTCGAGAGGTGACATTCAGTCGCTATTCAATCAAATTCTAAAGATCGACGTTACTTAATATATCAAATATAAAATTACCTAACGATGTGTGGAATATCGAAGAAAAATAATTCTACGTTTTAATTTGCATATGATTTCTCATTTACCATTTTAAAAATCTCGTCGACTCTATAACAGAAAGTTTTCGAATTACTATTTTTCTGTAACGAAAAGGTTGTCGAGTGCAAAGGGTTAATAATAAGTTAATTTTCTGTGGGAATGTTGCAGACGGATAACTTGGAATTGTCCATAATGTACCTGAAGGCTTTCGATTACATCGAAACAGTGTTATTCGTGCTGAGAAAGAAGCAACGTCAAATTTCGTTTCTGCACTTGTATCATCATATTACGACGGTACACTTTTCGTGGCTCATGATAAAATATTACATACCTGGCATATACCTATTGTTCGGCATGATCAATTGCTCAGTACACGTAATGATGTACACCTACTATTTTTTCTCGTCATTTGGACCTTCAATCCAAAAAATATTAAACCCGATAAAGCCTATAATCACCACGATACAAATGGTAAGCAGACAGGTATAGAAATCAGATCAAAAAATGAAAAATATCAGACACAACTTTATCTATCTTCTGATATAGATAATATCAGTTTATCATAAATACTTATAGATTCATAATTTCCCATGCATAATGCGTAAAAATATTAATGATATAAATAATAAATGTATAAAGTATTAGGTTGTTTGGAAAATAATTTCGTATAAGAAAATAAAATAATAAATAAGAAATAAAATATTTATTCATTATAAGAAAGTTGTCTTTCATTTTCATAGAAGACAAGCAAAATGACTTTCCGAACAAGCTAATATTTAAAATTAACCCATATCAAATTCATCTTTATTTTAATCCACATTAATGAGATTAATTTTAATTCGAAAATGTAATTTATACTTTCAATATTCATCTCTAATTAATTGCTTATAAATGTATGTACATATACAGGGTGTCGCATTTGAAATTTCGCACTCAATTATTTCCTAAACTATATATAGCTCGTTTCGAAAAACGTGTCAAATCAAACTTATAACATTTCAGTATTTACTTTGGAAATTATTAATCCAGTTTGGGACGAATGGTTCCCTTTACGTTAGTGTCGATTAGAATATACTCATCATTCGTCCTTCAAATCGTTCGAAAAAAGAAAACAAAATTAATTTTTTAATTCCACGAAACGAAGACAAAAATTTATTCTAAAAAATCAACAAAATTTAACACCAGTCAACTGCCTTGGCAGTTTAACCCATTTGCATAATGGCTCTACTTATGGTGCCGTGTTCAGGCATCAGCGACGTTCAACTGACGACTAACCCGTATCACCGCGCGTGTATCAGCACCTACTCATAATGGCAGTTAAAAGGATTTTCACGACAAAAGTAAAACTTGTTAAGAATATAACGAACCGATGTAGATGAGATGCTCACAAAAGGAATCAAACGTGATCTGCGGTATATGAAGAATATTCAGCAGTTGGTGATGGAAAAAGTCAGCTCGCGGATTGTTCCGCGCTCGGTGATAGGCGACAGTCGTGGCTCGTGGAATATTCCGCGCTTTCATGCAAATGGGTTAGAGATAAATATAGTATTATCATATTTCTAATATAATTTAATATAAATAGGTACGTAAGTTGGAAAATAATTTGCTGTCGGAGTTTCTACAGTTTACATAGCATAATTAGTTTTATCAGAATTTCAATTTTTGTGGTTACCTCGTTTTCTATGATTATCAATAACTGGTACACTGATATATTCGATTTTAAACTAAAACAAATTTCATACGTCAAAGAAGAAATATTGAAATGTTTATATAATATGCTTCCATATATATACAATATATACTAATGTTAGTCTTTTTGTGATTAGGTGCAATTTGTAATTCTGGCAATGTACACGCTACAATTTACCATCCTTAACTGTTCACAACCGGCTACGATATCTACATTGATATTGATTAATACTGCGAACAACGGTATCCTGTTTTACAACTTTTACATAAGGAATTATACAAAACAAGTTAAGCAGAAATGATAACTATAGAATACTACTGTAAAAATTGAACTGTGACAATGTTTACTGCTAATAGTTGATTGACAATAAATCTACGTATTATGTACCTCGATACTTCCAATCTCGATTTCTCGCAACGCTCAACACTATTCTTCCATCCCAGAAGCCGTGTTTATAGCATTACTCTTATTTTAATTTCAGATAATGCTAAAAACTTTATTACCTCGTATTACAACTGTAACTCCGAAGGTTTAAGTCATATACCTAATTGCAAAATCACAAAATATTTACAACGATCAGACTCGACAGACTGGACCACATGCGACACATGCGACAGATCCACCAAGACAACGGACACTGTATCACGTCGCAATTGAATTTTGAGGAAATTCTGACGAGTTGTAAGGCAACGTTGCCCGCAAAATTAATATTGGACAACTGTTTCAAATAGCGAAAAGGAAGATTTCGGCTGGAGTCGAACTCAGTAGATAGACTCTGATACGACGATAGGAACTGAACTCTTGAAGGTCTGGATTTGTAGGCACGAACTGTTCTCGTTGAGGCTTCGTTGAGAACTGTATTCTCCGATTTTTCTAAGATTGGTCTTAGGAAATTTCGGGAGCTCGCCAAATATTATTGGCTAATTGGACCAAAGGCGTTCCCTTGGTCCGCAAATTGGTCGCCTCGAATGAAGGGAAGGTCCTCCCAAACGAAGACGATGGTGGAGGGAACTCTTTCCTTCAAGGTGAGGTACACGGAGTCCACCCGCGCGCTGGTGACCCCATCCGCCGTTTATGGCCCCTGACTAGGTGTTACGGACCCAATCTTGTGGCTCAGTTCGTTGTGGCAGACACGGTGTTGGGTTGTAAAGTCAACGTGTGCAATAGACGGGCGTGAAGGACCAAATGATTCGGCAGGCTTCCGCTCGGTGGTCCAATGCTTGGACGTTGCCACACGATGATGAGTTGAATGTGCCCGATTTGATTTTATAGCAGACAGTCAATCCACGGGACTGATTATCCACAAAGCTTGTGTACTGGTTGATCGATGCAGACTGTCTGTGCAGACTACGTGTTGTGACTGTTTGATGTTGACTGACGAACTTACTGATAGATTGAATGCTTGATGGGTACTGAACCAACTGACTGTGTGATGGGTACTGAAGGACTGACTGTGCGATGCACGATCTTTCGAAGCCAAGGATTGCTAAAGAGGGAAGTCGATTTTCTCATTCGTGGTTGACAGGACCGAGGATGTGCCCTCGGTCCGCGAATTAGTGCCCCCAAAGAAGGGAGGAATGTCTTCCGCGACCAGGTCTGCTGGTGGGTTCAAAGTGGGCTCAAAGGGGGTTGCTGGTGGGCCACCCGCACATTTGTGACCCTTCTTGAAGTGCCCGTTACTTTATGGCTTCGAAAGTCGTGACATGGCACATGGCCTGATCCTTTCTTTTGCAAGCCTATTGTCAGCCAAATCCTAACTGCTGTTGTCTGCTTTCTAAAATCAATGGCTAAAGAATACCTCGTGTCCGGTGACCCGAGGTGAATAAAGAATTGTTTGTAAAATATATTGAAAATAAAGAAAATAGAAGACACGGAACTTGAAATAAAATAGCAATTAGGATCTGGCTGCCAGAAAACCGTAACGGGTCTTCTGGGTCTAGGGTTTGTCCCAAGATGGGCCAACGCGTGTGATTCAACAATCCTAAACAATTGTGTTAAATAAATCTTCTTATTAGTTTATCCATTTACTCACAAGAAAGAATTTTTTATTTTAAAAAGATAAAATGGAATGCAACTGTTAGAGCAGCGTAGTTGGAAAGAACAGAGGGTGACTCGTAGTTTAAATGCGAGTCCGGGCAAAGTGCAACGCACGAAATCGTCAAAGGAAATATGTAGTAAGGAAGCTTCGTATCGAATTTTTCCAAGGGAAATCCCTTCCAACTATTTAAATCGCACTGCTGGCTGTACTACAAGCCGGCGTAATTCGCCGAAACTATGCGGAAAGTATTTGGGGCTGAAACGGGGAACAAACTATTCTGCGTTATGTACGCAACTTTGAGATTTCTGGCAACCAAAGAAAAGCCACAGTAACTCGCCACGCTAACACCGAACAAATTCGGATGAAATTACTATAGCGGAGATAACAGCTTTATTTGCAAGCAGAAATCAGTTCGATCTACGCGGTTAATTCAGCCGCGAAATTTTGAACCACAATCGTACTGCTCGCACCAAAATTTCGAGGTTAGCCTTCATAATGCAAATGGGATATAAATGTATCTCAGCGATTATGTACTTTCTATAATTTCACTTAGTATGTATTTTATTAATTATTTAATAAATTATGTCTCGAATGTTTCACTTATTTTACATATACACGATTTTAGTGTTTAAATTTGCCGCGAAATTTTAAACCGTGATTATATTGTTCATAGCAAGATGGCGAAGTTAACCTCTATAATATCGCCTGCAGTGTAGATGCACTCCTGGTACTATACTTTTTGTTACGATTTCGTTTACTGTATATTTTTAAATTTTTTGCTTTTTATTTTATTTATTGTAACTAATTTTGCCGCGAAATTTTAAATCACAGTTACACTATTAATACCGAGCTGTTAAAGACAATCTATATAACGTCATATCTGAGGTACTATGTTTTCATTATGTCGATTATCTAATAAATTATATATCAGATATTTCATTTACACGATTTTAATGTCAAATTTTGAAACAAAATTTTGATCCATTGTAGTATTAATAATAAGATGACGAAGTTCGTCTTTATAATACCAATTGCTGCACAGGAGTGTCAATCAAAATTACTTCTTGCGTGAATTTTGGGACACCCAATATATATTTAATCAGCAAAAGTAACTATTATCCCAAATTTATTGTTTCAAAAAAAGAAAAAGGATTTTCGTTTTATATATTCCTCGGTAGTACCGGTTCTTCTAATGTCATGCTAAACACCATTCGTCATAATTCCGTGCAGCTGCAGTTGTCGGAAATTTCAGGACGCAATTTAACAGCGCGTTGCAGTCGTGTCGAACGTTTTGTTTCTACGCTTAAGATCTTGCTGCGAGTCTCGAAGCCACGTTGCGCGGTGAACTCGCGAAAGGGAACATATGTGGTTGCCGTTTAGGCGAGATTGCTTGCCCCAAGGGTTTAATAACAAGTTCCGCTAATAGATTCCCAGCCTTGTATAAAGCGTCTATTTGCCACGCTTGTCTTATGATGCTGTCTTAGGAAGCCCGATTGGAGCACGAAATCCGAATATAATCAAATCTCGAAAGTCACGTTCTCATTGCAGGTTGCGACCTAACCTCTTTTACCGAACCGACAAATGCCGGTGCGGGCGTTCTCGGTGTCAATAAATAGCATTGTTTCCACCAGACCAGCGGTTCTTAATCTTGTTTCTTGCACGACACTAACCAATGTGTGGTTAGGTTATGTACCACTTTGTAGTAGTATATAGTATACAGAATTTTATATATCGCACATAATATATTCAATAAAGATAGGTTTCATAATATAAAAATAATATATAA